GAAAATAATACAGTATTTAAAACATGTTGTCTAATAAAATTCTTATGCTAATCCAATACAATAATTATTGATTTTTGAATAAAAATTAACAAAATTCTATGTGTTTCTTTAATATTTTGTACCATTGTTTGTGGGTTTTTAATGGGAGTCACCGGCCAGAAGCAAATGCTGTTTGGTGGGCCATGGCATGGAAAAGTTTGGGAACCCCTGACTTAAGAAATTGTTTTACATAAAGGACCATGTACAAAAAGTTTATCACACTTTTCAGATTTTCTAGTTGAAATGAAAAGATTGTATTTTATTAGTTAAAGTTATTTGAAAAGTAACAGGAGCCATAGCAATGGCCAGATTTTTATCTGTCCTTAATGAACCCCCCTCTCCTCCCCTTCAGGTATCCAGCTTCGAAAGGTGCAGGAGCAACGGGAGCAGGAGGCGAAGAGGGAGCCCGTCGGCAACGACGTGGCTACCATCCTCTCGCGTCGCATTGCAGTGGAGTACAGCGAATCTGACGACGACTCAGAGCTGGACGAGAACGAGTGGTCTGACTAAAAAGGAAAAGAAAAAGGTGTAGATGGGGGAGGTAAAACTGCTGGAAATAATAGAGTAAGAGGGGAGAGAAAAGTGATGCTGAGTTAAAAACAAAGAGATCTGATTATTGTTAGTCATAAAAAATTTAAGTAAAAAAAAATAAAATAAAAAATCAACCATACATTCGCACTCCATAACAGGTTGATTATTTCAGCTTGCATGTTTGCCCCTGACGCCTGTTRTTGAACAGCCCCCCCACCCCTCGAGGCTCTTGTGAATAATGGTGTATGGCACAATAAATGCACCTTCCATTTCAGCAGCTTTCCACCCCTGCTACTCAATTAAAACTACAAACACACGAACTGTGACAAACACAACCCACAAACTTCCCGCCTACACAGTCGAGTGGTAATTATTAGCAATACTGCAGGCTCTCAAGCTGTAAGTAGGCAGGCCCTCTGTGAATACAGGGGATAATGTGTTTACAAAACACACGACAGAGCACAAGAATTAATATTATTATTGTTATTATTAATGCAATCTTAATCTATCTGCCAAATGTTGAGAATGAATTTGTAAAAATAAATTCAAGATAATCAGGGAAAAAAAACGTTAGTTTATTTATAAATTGTTGTGCTTTTCTGGGTTGTGCTAGTTTAGACAATGCGCACAATCGGAAATGCCGAACTTTTGGGAGTTTGGTTTGTCTTGAGACAACAAAATTAGCACTGAGATTTTTCTGTTTAACAAACTCTAGAATATAAAATGCAATTATGCTTTAAAAAATTGCTTAAATTATTGGATACAAGTGCTTTTGAAGTCACATCAACTTTAGAGTATATATTTAGATTACATAAAGTTAAGCAAGCTTGGTTTTAGACTAATTATTTTGCTTGGCAAGCTTACTTGAAGCTAAACACCATCCAACACAAGTAGTAAAACATCAACCTTGATAATATTTTTAAGTCAGTTTTCCTATTAAAGAGTCTATATTTTGGACCTTTTCCACTGTGAAGTTGCCATAATGCGAGGCGCCAGGTTACAGTGTAAACTAAAAGGGCATGATTGGATTGAATAGCTTCTCTGATCTGAACCTGACWGATGTTCTGTTGTTGGTCTAGTCACAGTATGTCCATAACAAACATGTTTGTTGTTAGCGAAGCTATATGTGTATATATATGTATTTTAGTGGATTATGAGTTAGTGAAGCTAACTTTTTTGGTTAGCTGTGCCCACCACTTTGCATCCAAAAGTGCACATGGCACCAGGACACCCTAGACCACAGATCACTAGCCACGTTTACATGGACAAAAGTAATCGGATTAAACG